ACGGTGGCTAAAAGCTAAAATTAAAAAAGAGAAAATGTAAAAGTAAAAAAAATCTAATTAAAAGTAACAAAAGGCTAACTATAACCCATAAAGTAGCAAAATAGCCAAAGATCAGCTGAAAGCTAAAACTAGCAGAAGAATGGGCTAATAAAAAGTAGAAATTGAGTAAAGTATGAAGTGGGTTTGAAAAAGATTAATGTTTTGAAGGAATTCAAGACATCTTGATGTATTTCCATGTGGTAAATATTWGAAAACAAGGTTAGAATTTTAATTTTTTTTTATCATCTCTGCAGTAAGCTGAACATTTTTGATTAATAAGTAATTAAGCACAAAAATACAGAAATAGATGGATTAAAATAAATTGCATGGACAAYAACACCGGGAAAGTAATAGCTACTTGTAACTGTAAAACGTAGCACAAATTTTTCTGAAGACTGTCTTCCAGGATTTTTGCAGCAACAGAAAAGGTGGACAAAAACAAGGAAAAATTACAAAAGACTGAAAACAGGACTTCACCAGAATTCATAGCAACAACTCTCAGGRACTTACCACTTCAGACTCGTTGTTGTGTCAGTGTCGCCGTGTTTTGTCTCATGAAGCTGCTCAGGAGGAGCTGCACGGAGGAAGTGATGCTCTCTCCTTGCAGCGGGTACAGCGGAGCTGCGCTGCTCCTCACTCACCGCTAGAGGCGCTAKAGAGTCTGTTCAGGTCAACTGGTCAAATCTGACCTCTTCTGAACCAAATGACCTGCTTTTTTCCTTGTATTAAATATATTGAAGATGGCCACCACAGCTAATCAACATAGTCAACACAAGAAATGCTTTAATTCAATAATGTTACAAATATTACACTAAAGTTTGATGTGTAGCTGGGAGTTATTTACAACACACCCCCTAAGTGTGATATCTCACAATAACATTATTTTCAAGGTTTGGCTAAAACACCTATCAATGAAAGAGAAATGTGATTAACGAGAACCTATAAATAGCAAAARATTACTATAAATTACATAAAAAACAATTTTGTTTAAATGATGCAACACAATTTAGACAGAATTTAAATAATATTTATTGAGAACTCAGCTTCCTGTAATAAAAACCAATTGTTGTCTGATGTGGTCTCTGAGCAAATCTCTTTCAATTCCTGTCGGCCAATGAAGGCCTTTGGTTGCCATGGGGATGGGGGGGGTGTCCATGGCAACTATGTGACGTGAGGGGAGATGTTTAGCAGCTGTACATAAAGTTAACAAGATTAAGAGATGTACAACGTATTAAATACCATCACAGGCCTGGTGAAACAGTTTCTAAATTCATAAAACTAAAAAAGGAAAACAAAAAAAGTCAATGTTCTGTTTTTGATGAGCTCAAGAAAGACGGACCTTGGCTTGGTCCATCGATCACAAAACAACCGATACAAAACAAAATAAAACATACTCCTATGAATACTGAATCCTTTTATTCACATTATAAACTCCTATATTTCTCACGGTCGAGCTGTGAACAAATCCCTTTGAGTTCCAATAAGCACCAACAACCAAACATTTAACAATCCCAGTTCAAGTCATTCAGGCTAAAACACGCTGGAAAAATATCTCCAAGACTGAAATTAAGAAATTAAGAGAAAAAAAAGCTCATTTAGGTGTGCTGGGGGAAAAGTAATGCCAACTGAGAATTGTAGTTATTTCTAAGTGAAATARTACTCCAGGTGTCAAATTGTAGGAGCAAACAAATGCTTTTGATAAAGAGAAGGTTGCGTATTTAAATCACGTCGGGGTCACCAAATTGTTGGAAAAATATGCGTTGTCGCAATCGATATATAAATGACCAATAAATTTCTTCAAAAYTATRATCCCCATTGTTACATGAATTGTTCAGATCTTTTGGTGTAGGGCTCTGAGAGTGAAGTGGATGTAAGGTAGCAGCTATCCACTTTAGTTGGATAAATTTACTGGAGGGTGTTAGCTTCAATAACCACTAATCCACTAAACAAGAGTCTTAGCTACACTAACGCTAAACCACTAAACCGATAAAAGAAATTTGTGGAAGCTATCTGCTAAGACGGCGTTAACTCAGTCTGACAAACTCCAACTCCTTCCAGTTGGTGGGACTGATGCAAACCTGTTGTTGGTTTTCTATTGGTTTAATCTGAATGTGTGTGGGATCATTTGGGGTAAATTATAGCTCTAACTTGTGATGCTTCCAGTTTACCACTTTCAAAATAAAAAGCATTTCTTTGCTTGAGTTTGTATTATTATAAACGCTGTAAAAATGCTACACGGTAAACGCCGTGCTTGTGAGAGGGGGTAGATTTCATTTAATGTGGGATAAGCAGCATAAAAATAGAAGTTTAACACTTGCGGCCTCAAATTAGCAGAGCCCAATTTAGTGGAAGCTAAACCGTTTCCAACAGTTCGAAAAAACAAGCTAATCTGCTAAATGTGAAGCTAGTTCTGCTATTAGCCGATTAGCAAAACTGTATCAAGCTTTAGACTAGCAGACCAGTTCGTAGTTACGGGTAGCCTAGCGGAGCCCAACTCTTCTGGGTCGCAGATCAACAGAGAAAACGCTGAGGTTGTCATGAAAACAACACTGGAGTTGTGCAAATTCAACAAGCTCTAAAAGTAGATTTATAGCTTAGATATTAATTTAAAAAAAATCACATCTATGATCCTAAATTAAAATGAACACAAATTAGTCTAGAGCAAATACATCCTGTCTGTATAACGATGTAGATTTACCTGTTTAAATTGTTCAAGTCCAATGGTTTCCATGTCAAACTCAGCGTTTTCACAAAACAATGTGAGCTCTGCCTGCCCAATTATAACAATTTTTAATTATGAAATGGTCTATTATTTGTAAAAAAAGACTAATCTAATAACTAACAATCAATTCAGGAAGTGTTTTTGCATAAAATGTCCATATATGTCATCAGTCAGCACACTCAAGATCCAAGTAATTATCCGGACTCAAGTCCTTTAAAGAGAATATCTGTAACAGGTAACCTTTTCCACATAACCCCACTTCAAATGATCTGAACTATCCCTTTAAAAGAACTGAAACAGTTTTTTAAAGTACATGAGTAAAGTATAGTATAAAGTATWTCAGTGCTACAGGCAGCTTGTGTTAAGGTGAAAGCTAAAGATCCACTCTTAACCCCCATGGTTTCAGCTATGTTCAGCTGTAAATGGGTACAATTAGAAAAAAGAAAAAAAAGCCCAAGCATCCTTCACTTCTATATATCAAATATAAAACACACACATCCATACACATCTTACACATCACAAACGCTTTAAAAAATATAAAAATATATAATCCCTTTCCACCAACAACTAAAATTAAATATTAACCCAATCACAGCTGAACGATAAGAGAAGTTGTTCTAAATAAAATGAAAATATATTTCTAAATAAAATGAAAAACCGTATCAGGACAGAAAAAAGCTGCACCTGAAACTCTAAAATGCTGTTTTGGTACTTATAAATAACAAAAAAAAAAACTTGTTTTATTAAAAATAGGTTTGGTGTTTTGGCTCATTAACCATAAATAGAGCTGCAAAGTTGATATGTTCCAAAAGCAAAAAGCTAATCCCTCTTGTCTGAAACACAGACAGATTAAAACCTTTTTCAATTAGGAGGTGCCATCAGAGGATTAACTGTTCCACTGGTGTTTAAACCATTCAGATCAAAATGTGAYCCATGGTGAAAAGCGTCAACACCAGAAACCTCTGACACTGTGGCTGATCTAAAAACACTCCCCCTATGGAAAAATAAAAATAGATTAAAAGATAAAAATAAAAAGCAGGCAGAGGCTGAAAGCAAAAATTTTAAAAATGTAAAAACCAACAACAAAAGAATTCACGCTGGTGTCTCAGGCTGTGAGGTCATCACAAGCTGGTGCGAAGTCCCCGTTGCGCAGGGCACTGGACTGGGCCCGTCTGCGGGCCAGTCTGGAGTTGGACGGAGGGGACAGTCTCATGGAGCAGACGATGACTCCGGCGTCCTCCTGCTGCTCGTCGTGCTGCGACAGCTGCCGGTTAAAGGCGATGGCTTCGGCTGCGAACTGGCTCAGGTCTTTGGTGCTGCTGTTCCTAAAACCAAGAGGAGGCAGAAGATTCACTCGTGCTCTCAAAACTACTTCAAAGACTTGCCTATTTAATACTCATTAAACTGACTGATAAACAAACAAAAACACTTATATATGCTAATATCATCATTCAAGAACCTAAACATCGAAAGCAATAAAACCTCCAAATATTTAGAGAACTGGACTGAAAAAAGAACTTTAAAGTGCCTGAGTTAAAAAAAAGATTTAAATATGAATGCACTTTTGGGAAGATTGAACATGTCAACATTTTTCTCAGTAAATATATTACTAGAGGTGCTAATGACAAGAAATTTTCACCAGATGTCGGTAACAACCCAAAT